TAGCACAATCGCGATTTCATTTATTATCCCTATCCTCGTCTCTCCCTTCCTTTCTTTCTTCTCCACCCTCCCTTCTCTCTCCCCCCCCCCTCTCTCTCTGGACGATTAGAAGTTATTATTAATAATATCGCAATTACGATGATATTTCATTGTATGGAACCATAGTATAGAAGTATGCGTTATATTCCTACATTGTTGTATGTGGGGTGTCTACATTCCAAATCAAGGAAGAAAGATTTATTATTTATCGTGCATAAAATTATTTAATGCATTTCGCTTTAAAGTTGACTTTGCTTCCTTCTTGTCACCTTCGTGTTTTAATAACGAGCCTATGGGTGCTCGTAACTGAAGAGCGCAACGTTTTCAGTTCTTATAAATGCAATGTAAAACAAATAATCGTAGTGATAACTTTTTCCTAATGACAACGAGGCCTTTGTTAAAATTTTTTTAGACAATTTTATTTTAATTAATAAATAAATAAAATATAAGTCATTTTTTAAAAATGGTTCAAGAATTACAATTAAATTCTAACTATGAGATCAATTGTTGGCAATAAATGTCGACTGTGATTCTCTGAAGCTGAAAGCTCTTTGATCAGATTAAAAATTATCGATGTAAAAAACTTTCCCGATGCCAATAGATTTTATACGACATCCCGCATATAAATCTCGCGTTTTATTATCACGTGTACGATTATACGATAACATTAGAGTACAATTGTCGGAAACGATATTAATTACGCCAGTGTGTGATATAATAATTAACTTAGTTGAATTGGTGTGTCAATTTCTGCGCTCTAATTCACGCCTTTTCAGAATCCGTCCAAGTTTGTTCGTCCGGAGTGAAAACTCCCGTTTTTCCATGCAACCACTAAATTGTAACATCAGAAGCGAAAAATTACGTAAATTTTTTTCTTGTAAATGCAAATTAAAATAGATTGATTTTTTTCACATATTACCATTTGCATTCGAATGTAAATTGATAAAATATGATCAAAAAGATATTCTTTTTCAAGATCTACAATTATACAAATCAAAAAGAATTATTATTTCAATTTCTTAATTGTTAAAATTGTATATTTTATTTTTATATAATAACATAAGGATGTTCTATAATATTAATCAATAGTACAAAAATAGTACAGAAAATTATAAAGACATACAAGGATGTTCCATTAATCTGTATTATCGAACGTGATGGTGCAAAAATTAATTTACGTCGGCATATAGTGCAAGAGAAAGAGATCCGTATCATTTCTCG